TATCTACCAGCAGTTTCTTTTATTCACACAAAATAGTAACATAATATGAATAATTATATATATTTATTTTTAGATAGTTCTTCTAGTGCTTCACCTTGGAATGGAGGAATGGAAAACTTAACCTTGTACCAAACCACATATGGCGATTCACTGAAACCAGTAAACCTAACAACTCAGGAAGATTCATCGAATACAGTGGAACCAATATCAACGAGTCAAACACAACTTTTAACAACAGAAGCTAATCTTGCAGAAACTTTCCCATCAACAAAACTGACAAATCCTACAGAGGTTTCAACTGAAGAAACTAATTTTACAGAAACTTTCATAACAACAGAACTGCCAAATGTTACAGAAGTTTCAACTGAAGAAACTAATGTTACAGAAACTTTCATAACAACAGAACTGACAAATGTTACAGAAGTTTCAACTGAAGAAACTAATGTTACAGAAACTTTCATAACAACAGAACTGACAAATGTTACAGAAGTTTCAACTGAAGAAACTAATGTTACAGATACTTTCATAACAACAGAAATGACAAATGCTACAGAAACTTTCATAACAACAGAACTGACAAATGTTACAGAAGTTTCAACTGAAGAAAATAATATTACAGAAACTTTCTTACCAACAGAAATGACAAATGCCACAGAAGTTTCAACTGAAGACGCTAATTTTACAGAAACTTTCATAACAACAGAACTGACAAACGGTACAGGAGTTTCAACTGAAGACGCTAACTTTACAGAAACTTTCATAACAACAGAACTGACAAACGCTACAGAAGTTTCAACTGAAGAAGCTAACTTTACAGAAACTTTCATAACAACAGAACTGACAAATGCTACAGAAGTTTCAACTGAAGAAGCTAACTTTACAGAAACTTTCATAACAACAGAACTGACAAATGCTACAGAAGTTTCAACTGAAGACGCTAACTTCACAGAAACTTTCATAACAACAGAACTGACAAATGCTACAGAAGTTTCAACTGAAGACGATAACGTTACAGAAACTTTCATAACAACAGAACTGACAAATGCT